TAGGCTTCAAAGGCTCACGACAAGAGTTGCCATATGGGCAAGCGCCCCGCGGTGATACAAGGAGGGCATGATGTATGTACAATCTACGGAGAGGGGTGCTGCTCTGCTACTTTGTTAAACTAAGTCTTATTTAGAGTCATGGTAACTTGCGAAATTGATATGGCAATGAGATGGTTCATATGATGGGTGTTTGGACTTCATCCCTCATTCAATAGATCGCAATGCGTGCGAAAACGGGGCCTAGGGCCTATTAGTCTTTTTTTGGGGGTGCCACTGCAACAAGACTTGGTGGATCGAGGGGGTAGATATATCATTCGAGAGGATTGCATGGGTTTCCAGCTACCTTGTCATGGGTTTGTCTTGAGCCAAGGCGGGTGGATTCTGGCACACGAGGGAAGAGCTGCTGGAACATGTATGAGGTGGTTGAGCACATCGTCAAGAAGAAAACGGAGAAGAAGCAAATGAGCTATGCAGAGCTTTTTGAAGAGAATAAGATTGACTACTTCGTGACACATTAGTGGGGTCAGGAGTTCAGGCATTTAGTGCAGGCACTGAGACATTTTGTGGATGCACTTGGCGACGAGAACCCCGACCCGGCCTTTTGGATATGTTCCTTTGCCACCAGTCAGCATGAGGTTGAATTGGGAGCTTCCCTGCCCCTTTGCCCCTTCAACCTCGCACTCAAGGCTTGCAAGCGAGTGGTCATGGTGTGTGATGATGACTTCACCACATTCAGTCGCGCTTGGTGCCTCTATGAGGCGATGCGTGCCCTTCAACTCGGTCTTCCCCTTGACCTGACAACGCCTGCGGGGTGTGTCACACAATCAGCAGGTCACCTGGGCCTCAGGAACACATTCCAGAAGCTTGGGCAGAAACTGCTGGAGATAGACGTTGCGAAGGCAGAAACCTTAAGAAGGACAGACAGAGCCATGATCCTGCAGGAGATTCAGCTAGTTGTTGGACATGAGCAGCTGAACTTGTACCTCCGTTCTTTCTTTGGAGAGAAGCTTCGGAAGCTCGTCGAGCGGCCAGAGCAGGAAGGTGTGTGTGTCAATGCTCGTGTTTCGTTTCAACTCGAGATTGCCAGGTATGAAGCCCGCAGAGTGTCATGGCATGGACGTACGGCGTTGCACTCAAAGGTGCAATCGTGCGACAAGACTGAACTCCAACTGCATCTCCGTCACATGGGACTAGCAGCTGAGGGAGATTTGAACGAAGTGGACGATCAGGGTAGGACCCCACTTCACTATGCCATGCGTTTCAATCCCCATGCAAACGACGTTGTGGAGGTTCTCTTGAATGCCCGTGCAGAAGTAGCCACAGACGAGCACTACGTACAGCCCTTGCACTGGGCAGCAGCTGCTGGTCAGATAGATGCTGTGCAGATGTTGAGCTCTTTGGACTCTATTGCAGCCAAGGACGACATGGGCCTTACGCCTCTTCATTGGGCAGCCATGCATGGACAAACCACCACCTTAAAATTCCTCATCGACCAGAGGGCTTCGATCAATGTGCCTGCACAAGGCTGGGCCGCGTTTTTGATTTGGACGGAACTTGAGGGACACGGGACACGGGGTTTGTAGGTGTTGTAGGATGTGTAGGTTTACTTTGGGGGCAACTGCCGGGGAGGGTTTAGTGTAACGGATTGGCATGGTTAAGGGTCGAACGTCTGGAAGCTTTTGTCATCAAATCCAGATACCTTCACAGCACTTCACCGCCACCATGTCCTGGCTGCACAGGTGCACTTGGCCGGACGCCGCTGCTTCTGGCAGCGGCAGCTGGCGAAGAGGAGGTTGTCATCAAGTTGCTGGACCACCAAGCCAAGCTGACCACTGCAAAGAATGGAGTTTCCCTTCTACATGAGGCGGCGAAGCATGGCGCGGCCAACGTGTTGAAGAGATCTTTGCAATCCTTCAGCCCAGAGGACTTGAACCGAGCCACACCGGAGGGCCTTCTACCCGCTCTTCACCTGTTGTGCATGTATGGTGCGGGAGCAAGTGAGGAGGGTGGCCCGAACCGGCTTGAAGCGCTGCGCCTGTTGCTGGAGCACCGCGCCGACCTTGAAGCAAGAGACTCACAAGGCCGCACACCCTTGCACAGAGCTGCAAGCGCCGGAGCTTCTGAGCTCCTGGAGCTCTTGTGCGCCCAGTTGCTGGAGCGAAACTGCTCCTTGGATCCAGTTGCGACAGACGGAACTACGCCACTTCATGCGGCAGCGCGCCGCAACCATCAGTCAGTGGTGAGTTGCCTGATCCAAAGACGTGCCGAGGTGAATAAGCAGAACAAGGAGGATAGAAGTAGAACAGCTCTTCACATGGCGGCCGAGGTGAAAGCATATGAAGCAGCAAAGACACTGCTCAATCACGGGGCCGACCATGCACTCCAGGACACCAACCAAACTGATGCACAAGCTGTAGCCAAGGAAGCCGGTTACGATCTTCTCGCATTGATCCAATAACATTACCATCGCCAGGTGCCGTGTGACATGTCGAAAAACATTCGATGCTTATTTCTTGCTGGATTCAGATCCAAAGTGGTCTAACTACAGTAAAAACTGCAGAACAAAAGACGATCACCTGCAGAATGCCAAAAGGACATTGCTGGACTAATCAAGGGTCGGACACCTAGATCATTTATCTAAAGTTGCCTTGCTTGGACACTCGATCCAGCTGCTTTTAAGCGTTTGAAGAAAGCTTGTAGCTTTATCTCAGTTCTCAGTTGCAGATAGTACATGTATATAATATATAGTTATATATGATATATACAGTAATCCTTTTGACCCACCACAAGACATTGCACAGTCACCCTCAAGATTGCGACGTTGTGTCCATCTATATTGCAGCGCGGTACTTGGCTCTAGCGTAGTATGTTTCAGGAAGCCTTGCATTTTACATTTCAGCTCAGCACCATTTCCAAGCAGTGCAGCTTCCAGTCTGGGAGGGTCTGAGAGGCACCTCAAGACTACCAGAGGACCACATTAGCATGGGGTCCATGCCTTCATCGGCCAGTGCGGCCTCATCCTATTTGTTAAATCGTTTCTTCCACACATTGAGCATTTTAATTGTTCACTTCTTTGTGCTTTGTGCTTCATGGTGCGGCGCAACCAAAACGGCACTACGATGGAGCAAGACGTGGAGCTTGAACCCTGCGAGCGAGGTCTAACCACTCTGGTTGACACCTCCCGACCTTTCCCGGTCCGTCACTTTGCTGAATTTGGTTGATTGACCACTCTGTGGTAGGGGCAGAAGGGGCACAGAAAGGGCACAGACCAGCACAAGGAACAAGGTGCAGATGTTTTGTAGAATCACTCTGGTTTTAGTCGTCTCAAGGCTGCCTTTTTTTTACGCAGCATTCTGGCCGGAGATTCTATGATGGAAGCAAGTGAGACCCTTCAGATTCCTTCTGTTGGAAGACAGAAGGCGTTGAATTCTGACAACATCATACTGACTACTGGCGTGGAAGAGATGCGATCTAGAATGCGAAAGGGATTATGCCAGTCCTACAAGACGGCTTTGATGTTCCTTGGCCTGCCTAGTGTTTCCACAATCCTTGCAGGGTGCAGCTTGACCCTGGAGCTGAGCATATGACTCCTCGCTGAGGAGTGCCTTCATCACAAAAACTATGACCGAGCTGCTCATTCCCATGGGGCACCAGAACCAGAAAACACGAGTTCTGTTCCTCCTTGCGACCTCTTGCTTGTGTTTATCCTGTTTGTTGGTTGTGCCCTGCCTGCCGGATTGCCATACACTTGAATCATCCGTTGTGTCACTGATTCCCTGACCTTCCCAATGGATATGCCTGCAGCATTTTGCAGCCAACAGCAGAGTTAAGCCTCAAAACAAGTGTTGGGTGCAGCTTGGCTGTACAAAACATTTTGGCTTTGCCTCCAGAATGCGTATATACATACATATGTGTGTATATATATATATATATATTTTTTTATTTGTTCGATGACGTAATGACGTTCTGCTTTTCTGAGGTTGGATTGTGAGACGGGACATGCTGAGATGATGATTGAGACATCCGTCTTGGAAAGCCAACGCATTTGCTGAGTGAAAGCAGGCATTTGGGTTCTTCGGTGCCCTTTGCGAACAAATTGTATATGGAGATGGGAGATGTTTGGTGATTACACAATGCTGAATGCACACAAAGAGTTTTACAGACTCCTGGACTCCTGATGTAAGAAAATATGACTTGAACACATCTTACGACTCAACGACCAGGAGATTTGAGACTTAGATTGCAGTACGTCTTCTTTTTGAAGGTTGAAGCTCACGACAGCACCTATAGTTGGAGCCCGTAAGAACGAAGCTGCCACTTGGTTTCGGACATATTCAGCCAGTGATGTCTTTAGAACTTGAACATAGTGCTGAACTGGGATGTAGCAGTGCAGGTAGGGCTTTGTCTTGTTTCAATCTTCGGGGCTTTGTCTGAAAGCACATCCAGACCTCAGGATGTTGGCATCGCAGACGCTCGGACTTCGAGTTCTTGCACGAGAATCTCGAGCATCTCGATCTCGTAGATTGATGTGGAATAGCCTCATAGCCTAGAATGCTCACGATGTACATATATGTACACATATGTATATATTTATATATAGAGAATGCTCTCGAGCATCTCGATCTCGTGAATGGCCACGATGAGTTCAGGGATGTTCATAGTGTTGGTGAAGATTCGGAGATCCCAGACGCCACAGCTGGGCCTGGGTAGTCCTCACGACCAAAGCTGCGACTCAGACGACACGGCGAAGAGTCTTCTGCGACGCTGCGACCTGCTTTTTGGTGTCGCGACCGGTGCGATGCTGCCTGCGATTGAGGTAATGAAAGGACGGATCTCATGTGTTCAATCAGTTTGGAATGTGAAGGTTCTTTTTCGTTGGATGTCGACGTCCACAATCCATTTTAGATGTCATTTGACCTCCTGAGCTGTTGCCATTTGAGCACTTGCATCAAGCCAAATTCTGCAAATTACACTCTGCTGAAGTGCTGAGTTCTTTTCCAATGGCCGGGGCGTCTGATAGGATGGCTGAATTTGTGAAGGCCTTGGTGGAGTACGGCATAGACTCCGGCGATTGGAGCTATGTCCTGTCCAAGGATGGTTCGAACCAGGCCAAGTTGCAACAGCTGTGCCGCTCCATTTTGGAAACAAAGTGGAGCCAAGAAAAACCGGAGGCTCTGGAAGGCACCATAGCTGGCAAAATCTTGCAGTGCTGGAAGGACGGAAAATCGGGCAAAGAGCTATGGAAAGACATTGCTCAGGAGCTTGAGTACGATGAGAAGGTGAAACGGAGCTCCTGGAAGGAGAAGGAGAATATGGTCCAAGAAGATCAAGACAAGTTAAAATGCCTCGAAGAAGGCATGTTGGTCAAGACCCATGATGACAAAGAGCTCAAGTTACATGCCACTGACATGCAAAAGCAGCAGCAGGGGGTCTTCAACAAAGGCAGAAATCCTCAGTGGACACTTCTTGCAGGTGAAGTAGCTGAAGTGACTCAAGTGCACCCTACGGGGTCCTTTCGTTTGCAACGTCAGGGAGGCGATGAAAGCTTCTTGGCAGCGCCTTCCATCGCTCGGCGCCTTTGTATCGCAGAGAATAAACATCGCTTGAATCCGCCGGAGAAAAAGTTGATTGGAAAACCGAAGGAATGGGCTGATGAGCTCAAGAAGAAGTGGCCTGTTTTTGATGACACCAACCTGAAACCAATCACAAGAGACCATGGTGGCCAAGAATTGAAGGACGCCAAGATTGAGACTCCTAGGCCTGACAATTTGAAATTGATATTCACAGCTCAAAGCATGGACCAGAGGCCCAGGAGCCCTTATCTTGGAAGAAGTCCCATCAAGTACGCATCAGATCTACTTCTACTCCCTGCAGTTTGCGCACTTGTCAAGACAATTAAGCCTGTGAAGAGAGAAGCAGCACAGGAACTGCTTGGAAAGATCCAGCGGCAGGAAATCGATATGGGCGAGCCCGGCGTGGGAGGCTTTGCTTGGCAGTCTTTGGCAACGAATGGTTTCCGAGCAGGCAACATGGACAAAGCAATCCTCATAGCATCGATACCCGGTGCAGATCAAGCCCTTTACAATGATGTCCTGTTCATGTCGTTGATGCATGACTTTCACTTTGCCATTACTTGGGAGCAGCACTATGGCAATGTGTGGCTGGCCAACTGGTTGCGGGAGCTTCTTGTCGGTGTTGTTGGAGGTGCTAAGCCCATTGTCATCACTGGGGCCAAACAAAAGGATGACACAGGCAAGGAAGGCCTGCACAAAGGGGCAATCGGCTATGCGCAGACGTCGGAGGTGTTCCTTTGCTTGGCCTTGGGTATTGACTTTGAGGTGGTTTTTGTCAAGGACCTGTTCGATGCCTTTCGTCCTTTAGTCAGTCTTGCCAAGAAGAAGGACTGGGAACAGCTGGAAAAGAGCCTTAAAGAGTTTGAACCAGGCTATCTCCAGGAGTGTCTCCGTCACACAGATGCTGCGGGCAAGAGTGCGCTCTTTACGCTAATCCGAGAGGCTGCACGGCCAGATGGAAAATTCAAGAGAGCAAATGAGATCGATCCCCACAAGATTGTGAAGGAGCTTCTGGACAAAAAAGCTGATCCAGCTCAATCGGATTTCTATGGCTGGAACTCTTTGCATCTTGCTGCGCGCTTCAGCACCCCCAAAACCATCGGGGTTTTGGTCCAGTGCCAGCCTGAGCTCTTGAATAAGAAGGACGCAAAGGGCCGTTCTCCCTTGTACAGAGCCATCAAGCATCAAAACAAGGTTGCAGCCGAGAAGTTGAAAGAATTGGGAGCCACTATGGATGGGACAGAACAAGATAGCTTGCTCTTGGCGAGTCTAGCTTCATGAGAACATTGAAGGAGAAGGGAGGAACTTTGGTCGCAGGGAATTCCAGACGCCCAGCCGTTTCGATGCTCCCTTCTTCAATCGGTGAACGTGCATCAAGATAATTGTTGCTACACTTGACTGTTTGAGCTGAGCTGAGCTCAACGACAATTCATACTTCAGACTTCGCAGCGCCTGCAACTACAAGGCCTCGAATTCTTGCTGGAGACGCAGAGGCACCAAAATGCGGTTCATGCTTCTGACAAGTTTAGATGACCTCACAAACAGCTTCCCAGAACTTGCAGCGGAACAGTTGACCATAATACAGTGGTTTCACAGTAGATGGCGCAATCCCGGTGGTTTAGATGGACCCCTATATCAGACACATTTTGGGGTGCCAGTGCCGTCTACTCTGAAACCACTGTAGATGCTAATTGATAACTGGCCACAATGAGCAGTTCAAGAAACTTTCACAGTGTGACAGTTCAATAGATGCTAATTGATAAGAGTAATAGGCTAAACTCCATCATTGTAAATGCATTGAACTTTCTTGGTGCCTCGGGCTTCATGTCACAACTTGCGCTCAGTCAAGTCACAACCGACGCCATTTTTCAGCAACACATCCAGACTGCTTCATCGCAGCGCAACTGTCACATCCTAAATTCAATCCGAATGCGTCAGGGGCGCAGGCTAGCACAATGTAGAAACTACAGACATTATAAACATGTTCAAAGACTTACTTGAGTTGTGGGCAGCAGAGGCTCGCAGAGTGACTTGATTTCTATCAATAAGCATGACAAGTGAGAGATGCAACCAATCACCTGTGCCGTCAGAATAATCTTTGCAAGTATCCGCAGGGTTCAACCATACCGATTTGCAGAGATCACAGACAAACGGGGCCATGCGACGTACAGGATGTATGTTGTCATTGAGGTATGTCAACTGGGCCACTCGTTCCACCCTAATGACTTGACAACACCTTTTAAAGACGCAATGAAACACATTGAAAAAATAGCAACGACAATTAACATTAGAAAGAGTCTACAGTTGTTTTTTAAATATCCTTTTTTGTACCTCGTCTCATGGACGAGGTTTTTGCTTGAGCAAGTGGACGGCAGATCTGCCCGCGGTCGCTGGAGGGGACGTGGAGCCCCGGATGTCGGTGCCGGGCGAGGCAGAAGTTTCAGGCGAGGTCAGCCAAACATACATATAGAGTGCCTGAAACCAATTGAAACACCCATCTGTGGAAAGTAAAAAAAAGCCGAATATCATGCGCTCATGACCAAGATTTACCAGGTCAGCATCTTTTCCTGAATTCAATGCCTCCTGCCCATGTCATGCTGCGGCATTGGCCGACCTGCTTGACGAGGCCCCAGAACCCTCAGACATGCTGTGCGGTGCTAAGCGGGGGGTTGCAGCGAGGCGCACGACAAATGATCGCTCATGCCATGCACTGGTGGTGTTCATTTAGTGGCGTGAGTGACAATAGTAAGTGGGCCACTGGTTTATTCTCTATTCCGGTGATGTACTTGTACTGGTACTGCGGTTGGCGTTTTTGACCTATACTATGTCAATTTCATTCACGTGTAAGACTGTAGCAGTCCTTTGTCTCACACATGACGAGGGGGTTTGCTTTGATCTCATCACCTGTGCAGTGGTGCGGTGAAAGCCATGGACATGAAGTGCCGTGGTCAGCCACCACTAGACGTGCAGAGAGGTGGCTGACTGTGCTTTTGCAGACTGCGCAGATGGCGTTGAAGACTGATGACGTTTGCAGAATGACGACCTTGTTTTATTAAGCAGGGAACGGATCTTCAGGGCAGGTTCTGACCAGCAGCGCATTCCCTGTGAAAGCTCGTCATGCAATTGCTGTGATTTCCACTTGCTTGTTCCCGAGGCCACACCATCACTGAACATCTCTGATTCCCGGCTGGAAGAAATCTTTGAGAGGTTCAAGGACATATTGTCGTGCCGCATGTCCACGTTTGGAGGTCAAAGAAGGTCAAATTGAATAACCCTTGGTGGGGTTCCGAGAAATTAATGGAAGCTCCCCGGTCGAGTGGTTTGAAAACTAGTTTCCAAGATGGGAGTTTATCTTTATCGGGTCGCAATGGTTCCAACAAAACACAGATTGAATCCTAAGGTCACTATATAAGTTCCTCCACATTTTAGCAGTGAGGCCGCATGATTCAGAATAGCCACCCTGCTAGAACACAATGATGCTTTTCCCCAGCCACAAGATCACCGACAAGATATGTTGCTCTTCTTGAACGAGCTTGGCTTGAATCCGACGCTTTGCCTGGACAACGATTCGAAACCCGTCATGCGCTCGTCACATGGTCAGCCGGCACGCGTCACGCGCGTCAGGAGCCCTCGGGTGAGATGAAGGTTTGCCACCTGGACGATGCCATGCGCGTCGCGCGCATCAACAAGACTTCGAGGCCCCGCGTTGAGTGCCGCAGGGTGAGAAAGAAGTGAACCCCATGGCTGTTGATCAGGCAGCATCTGATAAACAAGTAGGGTGTACACAATCTGCCTTTTTCTGGAGCTCAAATGGTGGCCGAACCACCATCCCCACCGGCTGCGGAGGTGCAAAAGATCCTTGATGACCTGAGAAATCCGGAGTCCTTCAGCTTGGGCATGTTCAAGCAGACGATGAAGGAGAGGGCAGCATAAAAGTGCTCATAGGTCGTGGGTCCCGGGTTTTTGTACATTGTATGGGTCACAAGGCGTTTTGGGCGTCGTTTCGCCGACATGTTCAGTGGTCTCACGGGATAATTAGGGTACTCTTGTCCTTGGTGGCCTGGGTGCTTTGGGGTTGATCAAGATCGCTGAAGATGAGCAATCCACAAGAAAGTTGACGCATCTCATGCGTATATTTTCGGTGCTTTCTGTCAAGAGGGGACGTCGGGCGCACAGAACATTCAGGGTGGTACCCCCGTCGAACAGAAAGCTTTGGCTTGGTATTGAACGCGCTCATAGTTTAGTCACTCGAGCTGACATGGGCCACACGAGAAACGTGCACGTGCACGTGCACAAACATGTGACACAGTGACACCCACAAAAAAATGCCTACTTGTTTCTGCAGATTCCAGCATGTAAGCAAATTCAACTAGTGACTAGTGGAATACTCTTTGCCGCTTCAAAACGCATGTCAACATTGCAGGCATTCAGCATCAGCGTTGCTTGCATCAACGCATACGGCATACGTTTCTTTGGTTGAGAAAAGGGTAAATCAGACAATGTCAGAATTTCCAAGCCGGCAATTTCACATTTTTCGCATCAGAAGATCTTTTTTGCTACTAGTCGTGTTAGCGGTGCTTTGTGAGTTCGCATCATTTGACCACTAAAATGGCCACCCCAGAAAGAAACACACGCGAGCATCACGTTGTTAACGTAAATGTGCTGCTGTTGATCCCAGCATGGTGAACAACAATCACATCTTAAAGCGGTATTTTCGATGCATTGTAAGGGCCTCGAAGAACGAGGGTCCGCTAAAATACCGCTTGTTGCAGCTAAACATTGAATGCCAAAGGCGCAAACAAAGCTCAAGGACAGGGCCACAGCATGGTTTCGTGAGAGCGACGCGTGGTTTTAAAAACCAATAGCTCCGCATGTTTGTGGAGGTCAGCACGTCAATGCCCTAAGCAAAGCCTCACTGTGAACAGGACGCTCTCGCAGAGTGGTCCTCAAGGGACCAGGCCCTCTTCGGATTTCTTGTGCTGGGTGAGGTTTCTGGTGCCTTGCTGTAGGCTTGCTTTCAAAGAGTGGCAACTAGGTATGTATGAACCAGCTTGCTGGAGCTTTTCCAATCAATCCTGTGAGCAACTGAACAACTTTGTGTGTTGTAACGTTGTACCTCCAGTTCCCTCGTTATGTATCACGGTGGGCTATTCAGAGAGGCTTTGGCAGTTGTTCTGGGGTCGCGGTTCTCTCACTGTTTCTTGGTCCACTTCTCAGCACATCAACGCCGTCAACGTGGGTGAGGGTTCCGGTGCGGTGCTTCGCCGTGGTTCGTGGCTGCGCAGGTCCAAGAGGTGCTACAATGCTTTCAAGTCTTTGATCGCCAGGGCACAGGTGTGGCAGCAAGTTAGCTGGGCATAGCTGGGCAGCTAGGCAGCTCGTGGACAATGACAGCTAGTTGTTGTCCACCTCCTTGTGACGCAAGCCGGATACAATATATAATTGATATTGAAATTCCATTGTTTATACTTAGCAAGGTGCATGAGACTGATTGGAGGCTCATGATGCTGATGCTTTCCCGGTGTGTTTGCCTTCCATGCATTTCCATGCCATCACATTCCATGTTAATCTTCCCAGGTGTAGAGCTTTGCAGTTTCCGTCTCTTTGAGGCGTCCTCTCTAGGCAGAGTATCCACAAGATCATGCGCATGGGGGGTTCGAGCCTTAGCAGGGCTCAGCGGGGTGAATGAATGCAAATGATGTTGCCCCAGCCTGCTTCAATGGGCTTATTGTTCTACCTCAGCCTTCTGTTTCAATTGGCTTTTAGCTTTTTATTCTAACCTCTGTATCTTCACACCTTTCTTTACCTCAATTCTGCATGTCTTAGCTTGTGACTGATTCACTCGATGGCCGAGACCAAAGCTTCTCAGAGGATCAGTTGGAGGAGAACTTCCAGTTGTTCGAACCATTTTGCCACCATGATCAGTAGATAGAATTCAGCATACTTCCAATCCATAGTCCTAATTACCAGCCAGTTGGCGAAAACATTCTGACTTGACCCAATCCTCTCGTATTCGATGACTGTTTCCTGTTTGGGTCCAGGATCTATGGAGCCACATCCATATGCAACATGTGACAGTGTGACATGCCACGAATGCCAATCGGAAGGACATGCTCAAAAATGTGCACTGCGACAGCTGCTTGGCCTGGCAAAGTGGGACCTGCGGGCACTGTGGCAGTAGAACAAGATGGACACAATGAATATATTTTGTAAACAGCCCACCAGAAGAGTCGTCACTTGGAAGATCTTCATTGGCTTTGGGCCTCTATAGTCTATGTCACATGTAATTTCCGATACTGGTCCTTGAGTCATTTAGCAAGCATTCGCTCCTGAGGCCACGGGGACGTGAAGTACTTGGATCTGGCGCTTTTCCTTCTGGGGCCTGAGCTAGAGGTGAAGGAGAAGCATCTCATCATGGAGGCTGGGAGCCATGTGTTCAGCTGTAGCTTTGCTTTAATCGCTGAAGAGACCGACCGGCGTGGTTTCATTCTGTTAAAGTGCTGAGTTCTTTCCCATGGCTGGGGCGTTTGATAGGGTGGCTGAATTTGTGAAGGCTTTAGTGGAGTACGGCATAGACTCCGGCGATTGGAGCTATGACCTGTGCGAGGACGGTTCAAACCAGGCCAAGTTGCAACAGCTGTGCCGCTCCATTTTGGAAACAAAGTGGAGCCAAGAAGAACCGGAGGCTCTGGAAGGCACCATAGCTGGCAAAATCTTGCAGTGCTGGAAGGACGGAAAATCGGGCAAAGAGCTATGGAAAGACATTGCTGAGGAGCTTGAGTACGATGAGAAGGTGAAACGGAGCTCCTGGAAGGAGAAGGAGAATATGGTCCAAGAAGATCAAGACAAGTTAAAATGCCTCGAAGAAGGCATGTTGGTCAAGACCCATGATGACAAAGAGCTCAAGTTACATGCCACTGACATGCAAAAGCAGCAGCAGGGGGTCTTCAACAAAGGCAGAACTCCTCAGTGGACACTTCCTGCAGGTGAAGTAGCTGAAGTGACTCAAGTGCACCCTACGGGGTCCTTTCGTTTGCAACGTCAGGGAGGCGATGAAAGCTTCTTGGCAGCGCCTTCCATCGCTCGGCGCCTTTGTATCGCAGAGAATAAACATCGCTTGAATCCGCCGGAGAAAATGTTGATTGGAAAACCGAAGGAATGGGCTGATGAGCTCAAGAAGAAGTGGCCTGTTTTTGATGACACCAACCTGAAACCAATCACAAGAGACCATGGTGGCCAAGAATTGAAGGAAGCCAAGATTGAGGCTCCTAGGCCTGACAATTTGAAATTGATATTCACAGCTCAAAGCATGGACCAGAGGCCCAGGAGCCCTTATCTTGGAAGAAGTCCCATCAAGTACGCATCAGATCTACTTCTACTCCCTGCAGTTTGCGCACTTGTCAAGACAATTAAGCCTGTGAAGAGAGAAGCAGCACAGGAACTGCTTGGAAAGATCCAACGGCAGGAAATCGATATGGGCGAGCCCGGCGTGGGAGGCTTTGCTTGGCAGTCTTTGGCAACGAATGGTTTCCGAGCAGGCAACATGGACAAAGCAATCCTCATAGCATCGATACCCGGTGCAGATCAAGCCCTTTACAATGATGTCCTGTTCATGTCGTTGATGCATGACTTTCACTTTGCCATTACTTGGGAGCAGCATTATGGCAATGTGTGGCTGGCCAACTGGTTGCGGGAGCTTCTTGTCGGTGTTGTTGGAGGTGCTAAGCCCATTGTCATCACTGGGGCCAAACAAAAGGATGAAACAGGCAAGGAAGGCCTGCACAAAGGGGCAATCGGCTATGCGCAGACGTCGGAGGTGTTCCTTTGCTTGGCCTTGGGTATTGACTTTGAGGTGGTGTTTGTCAAGGACCTGTTCGATGCATTTCGTCCTTTAGTCAGTCTTGCCAAGAAGAAGGACTGGGAACAGCTGGAAAAGAGCCTTAAAGAGTTTGAACCAGGCTATCTCCAGGAGTGTCTCCGTCACACAGATGCTGCGGGCAAGAGTGCGCTCTTTACGCTAATCCGAGAGGCTGCACGGCCAGATGGAAAATTCAAGAGAGCAAATGAGATCGATCCCCACAAGATTGTGAAGAAGCTTCTGGACAACAGTGCTGATCCAGCTCAATCGGATTTCTATGGCTGGAACTCTTTGCATCTTGCTGCGCGCTTCAGCACCCCCAAAACCATCGAGGTTTTGGTCCAGTGCCAGCCTGAGCTCTTGAATAAGAAGGACGCAAAGGGCCGTTCTCCCTTGTACAGAGCCATCAAGCATCAAAACAAGGTTGCAGCCGAGAAGTTGAAAGAATTGGGAGCCACTATGGATGGGACAGAACAAGATAGCCTGCTCTTGGCGAGTCTAGCTTCATGAGAACATTGAAGGAGAAGGGAGGAACTTTGGTCGCAGGGTATTCCAGACGCCCAGCCGTTTCGATGCTCCCTTCTCCAATCGGTGAACGTGCATCAAGATAATTGTTGCTACACTTGACTGTTTGAGCTGAGCTGAGCTCAACGACAATTCACACTTCAATCCTCGGATGCAAGTTGAGGACTTCGCAGCACCTGTAGATGCAGGGCCTCGAATTCTTGCTGGAGACGGAGAGGCACCAAAATGCGGTTCATGCTTCTGACAAGTTCAGATGACCTCACAAACAGCTTCCCATAACTTGCAGCGGAACAGTTGACAATAATAGATGCGACTTATGAACTGCCACAATGAGCCCTTGACCTGGTTTTGCTTGTATAAGGGGATTTTATACATTCCCTATGGTTTGTTTAATCCCCAAACCTGGTGAGTATTTTTCCAGGTTCCTGGGAGCCGCAAATCAAGTTGAATGTGTTGAACTTTCATCTCACGCCTTGGGCTTCATTGTCACAACTTGCGCTCAGCTAAGTGACAGACCGACGCCATTGTTCAGCAACACATGCGGAGACATCCTGACTACGGACACATCGGCAGCGCGTGTTCTGTCACACCGTAGCACAAGGTAGACCCTACAGACATTAGCTGTTCATGTGGATGTTCAAACATTCACTTGAGTTGTGGGCAGGGCAGCAGAGGTTCGCGGAGTGACTTGATTCACACACACACACATACATATATATTATATCAACAGGCATGAACAGTAACAGCAAAATTGACACAGAAGTGAACGCCATGGCTGTTGAAGCACAAGATCCGGCACCATCTGAAAAAGAAGTAGAGTGTACTGTGGCCGGAACCGTTTGAGCAAACAATCACGCGGGTCAGCTGGCATGTGGTCAATGGGTGTGTCTTTGCTGCATGTTTTGTGCTCGTCGGCGGACCTGGCTTTTCACTGCATTTTGCGGCTTAGAACCTGCCACGTTCAATGGGTTTTCTGAACTGGTTCTAAGCCTTTAAACCATTTAAACCATCGGTTTCGTTTCAATCATGGCCGTTCAATGGGTCTTTCTTTCTTCCACTCGGTGGCACCAATGGTGCCCATGGCTTCCACTTCCGATGTGTGTCATTCGTGGTGGTGATCCCCTAATAGATGACCGTGGCACGGTTTAAAGATTTTCAGTGGGGATCTACGTGTCTGTCTATTTGGGGGTCCCACTCAAAAGGATGATCTGAACGACGGGAATTTCGATGCGATACGAGGAGGTGGCGGGGACAGCCTCCCGGCGCTGGTGTTTACCTACTATGAGAGTTCTACCTGCTTCCTGAGCATGCGAAAGGCCTTTAAAGCCACAGGGGCCTCGGTCCCGGGTGGCATTGCATACGATGCTGTGATGGCGAAGCTGAAAGCCGAAGGTGAAGGAGGCGAGGGCAACGGACCGACACGGAAGGGTTCTGAAAGCGAAGGTGTTCTTAAGGTGTTCGTCTGTTTCGATGTGAGTCAAAAGCCCCAGACAACCGGGGGGGACCTGAAGATATATTACATGAGATTACCCTAGTTTCATCTAGTTTCGGGAGGTGCACTGAAGCCATGTGTCGAATTCTCCCTGGGCCTCCGTATGCAGCCCCTTGGTCGACGGGGTGAAGGGGGGGTTGTCCACCAAAATGGGCAAGGTGCCACGAGCCACAAAACATGGAGTTTAGCTTCTCGTCACGCCAGGTCACCACCCACTCATGAGGCTTGTGTATATATCCATAATTATGTACCCCAGACCATCCATGTAGGGAATAGTCATTAATAGTTATTATACTGTATATTTACACCCTTTTTATTACCTTCATGTACGTAAATATGCCATACATGGATGGTCTAGGGTACCGAAACGAACCTGCCGTTCCGGTTCTAAGCGTTGACCTCGGGAGTTGATGTTCCTCCCACCTTGCCCAAGTTCAAAAAAGCATCCTTCCACAAGGATGGGCATGTTCGCCACCCATGTCTCCATGTCTCGTGTCTCTCGGGGTACAGCTGGCTTGGAGTGTGAAGGTTCTCAGAACTGGACAAGGGTTGAACTGCTGCATCCTGAGCCCTGAAACAGTTCGGGTGTCTGAAGAGGCCCAAAGACAATACAGGAGGACGATGTGCGGACCCCCACCGGAACCTGGAAACCCAAGTGCTTGGTACCAGTACTCTTGGGTGGGTGCAACCTGAGCTTTGCCGGATTTCACTTGAACATGGCCTTGACTGTACCAGTCACTTCTACCGATTGCATCCAAGTACCTGACCTGTCTGCAGCCTTTATGCTTCATGCCTAGAAGGCTCGTTCCACCAACTTTGGAACGCGCCTGAACCGAACTTTTAAGAATGGAGACCATGAGCTACCAGAAGACCTTTCTGGACCTGAACTTCGCTCAGGTGCCGACATGTGCCGGGGGGTGGCTACTGGGGTTTCGTAATCACCATTGGACCATTGGTTTAATGGTCTTTACCGAGCAACCATTGTTTTACCAAGGATTTTGCACTGCACAACGTAGGTCAACCATTTTTTAATGGTCGAACGGGAGGCGAGGGGGTTCGTGGATGGAGAACTAGAGGGTGGATCCTACACTCTTTTGGGCAAGGCTTGAGCCTTGGCAAGTGAGGAATAGAATGGGCTGACATGTTAAATAGCCCCCCAAATAGATAGAAAAGTAGATCCCCACTCAAAGTGTATTGGACACTGTGCCACTATCTATTGTGGGACCACTATATCGATGTAGTATGTTGGTAATACTTTATTCACAATGTCCTACTTGTTTCTCTCTAATTTCCCTTCCTGCTGATCAGAAAAGGCGAAACAGCTCTTCCTGGTTCTCAAGCCTTTGGTTCCGGTGGTTTGAGATTCAGATCATAAAGACACAATGTAAAAGACATATGATTAATATTGGCACTAACCACCGAGTCATCAGGAGCCTAGACATGAATTCATGTTCTTTCCAGCTCTTTGGACGGGTTTTCGTTCCCAAAAAGGGACCTCTACGACCCGAAGCCTTACCGCCCATTCGGCACGCACTGACTTACCGCCCATCCATCTAGCAGTCGGTGCACCTTCTTTCACTCTCTTTTTAAGAAGGAACGGAACGGCCTGGAACCGAAAAACCGCCTCATCCTCCACTTCCAGCGACCGACTCCCCGGCAGGTCACGCCAGGTCGTAGTCGCAGCGTTCCACCGCGCACCACGCAGCGGAGCCACGAGGATCTCGAGAAGGTGGACTATGTGCCTCGGACGAGTCCGACTGACACGACCTGTCTAAGACTGCCAGTCCGGACTGCCGATCAGTTGGAGTGGTGCCAGGGTCAATGTAGGCATATATCCCAAATTATCCCAATAAATATATATATATATATTACCCTACAAGTCCAGTCTGACCCAGTAAAACCTGGTCTTTTTGACTGCCTTAAGTTCCTTAAGTATTGGTCTTGTATGACCATCTCCAGTATTTCATGAGGTCAAACTGACTTGTAGGGATATAATACATTCAGTCGGTGTTTGGGACTGGACGCCCCAGTCACTACGCTATCGGCTACCTCCTTGTTGGTCCAGGCACTGGTCTCATGTCCGGACCAAGGGGAGACGCCCGTGTTTGGTGTTTGGTTCTCGTTGGTCTCCTCGTCACGTCTCCTTCCTAAGTCTACCCCGGATTTGGGTATAGGTTTCCCTTCTCTCGTCAGACTTTACCGTTTCCCTTCTTGAGGGGTCGTTGCCTGGGAGGTCTATTGAAATGCTTTGAGTAATCCATCGCCGTGTCGTAAAGCCGTCGTAAAGCGACGATTTGCGAAAGACAGGGGGTAGTTTTTGCAGTGGCCTTTTCGAGGCTTTGTGCAAAGCACTTTTTCAGAGAAATGCAGGTAGGTCCGTGTTTGATTCTGTTAGATGCTCTTGTATCGTTTTAGTTCTCCGCTGTTGTTGGCCGCGAACACATCGATCTGATCGTGGGGTTGTTCTTTAGGCAGACTTTCACCCCTTTTGAGGGACTATGAGTTCCAGTGGGCCGCTAGCGAACATCATGGCATCATGTGGGAGCAAAAGCCATCCACTCACCCATCACGGGCGTGCATTTCGTAAACTTTAGGAAGCTAGGAGACCTGAGATGGGAAAGCAACAAGACTCTGACTCTTCTTCGATGTGTGGCCCAGTTTTCGCCAGCTCTGATGCCAAGTTGTTTGGCACCCCCAACCTGCCAGGCTACTGGACGTTGAACACGTGGTTAGGTCTATAAGTAGATGACCATCAACCATCAAATGCGCCGCACTCGATCCGTAGCACAGGTGGGAATGGGTCGATTTATGTCGCCACCGACTCGCCACCGACCACCCACCCAAACTGGGCCGTGCGGGAGTTCCCCCTTCTCAGAGTTCATTCTCGATCATCTTCTGATTGAAGCACCCGCCCAAGATCAGGCCCCTCGTGGAGAGAACGACTGGGCTACACTGGGCTACCCTTGTATCGATGTGTGTTTTGCGGACAACCCTAGTTGGAGGCTCCGTGAAGAAGACCAACTGAAAACACAAAAAGTTGGAGGCCAATTCTACACCATCACCCATACTCATCAGTCGAACGAACAACATCCTTCCATCCACGGTCTGATTGGTCTTGGAACAAGCTCCGTCAGACCACGGGTTTGGCATCCAATACCCATATTATTTGATTCTGTTCTGACTGGTGCTTAGTAGGGAATAAGGGAATCCCTCATTCCCTGCTAAGCACCAGTTAGTGTTTGTCACCGTCCATCCAGCTGTCATTAGTTGGTTCATCCTGGTTTTTCGATCCTTCAGAGACACAGACGCTCTGTCGTTCTGATGGTTGGGGCTCCCAGCTCTTAAGCGTCCAACCAACCGATGTGTCCTAACAAACCAGAACCATCCAGTCAGGGTATCCTGGCCAAACTACTTAAGTACTTCATGAATCTCCAGGGTTTCGCCACATTCGCTGATCCAGGTCCGCTTCAGCCTCGATCCACGCGCGATCCCGCGCTTCCGGCGTCCAAGGCCACCTCCTTGTTGGCCCGCGTGGCCGAATCCTTCTCTTGGCCTGTGACGCAGACGGAGACGCTGGGGAGCCTTGGGCATCCGGAGATTTGCGGCAATCCCTGCATCCGCGCCTGGGACCGAACACGGGGACCACCTACCAGGCGGACGGCGGAAGGATGGAGGTATAGGAGGTTCCAGGTTCCCCCGGACCAGCCGGATTCAGCTGGTGCGGTTGGACGGGTCGCCCCTAGACAGGTCGGTAAGAATCGGGGGTCGTTTTGATGTTTGGATGATCCAAGAGAACCATGTGAGAGTGAACCTAGTGGTGTCCTTGTTACTGCCCCCAAAGCCAAAGCTTTAAAAGGACACACCCGGGAAAAGACCCACATGGAACCTGGCTTGGCATGAACCAGACTGGAAAGACACTTTTCCTCTACCACCGAGTCCTGGCACGTTTGCTCAACCCTTTGACATGCCAACTCCCCCTGGCGAACGAATACATCATTGCGCTTGGCGCGCGCCAGCAAGCTGAGGTTTCTACTACGGGAGCTGCAAGAAGGCCGAGCCACCGTTGGAAGTGCTAGGTATATATGTATACATATATATATATTATAAAGTTAGACCAAATGATGACAAAATTGTACACCTGCACAAAAATGCGCACACAGGATCTAGTAACCTCCCCCCATTCAAGCAGCTTGAGCCCCCAATGAATATTAAACAATGGCAGAAACCACCCCCTGTTAATCAAGCCCAGCTGCCCCCAGAAAGTAAACATTGAATCCCTGTTCACACAGAATCCCATCAACCATCATCTATCTCCAATACCTCCAATCTCAAACCTTGCTGATCTTGTTGACCTTAAAGGGAGGGCTGATTAATCTGGCGTTGGCATTAGCATTGATCTAATCATTTGTGAGCTATGTTGTGTATAACTTATACTATATAGTATATATAATATGTATAAGCTGCATCTCCGTGTGAGAAGGTGAGGTCCCAACGACGCCACGACGCCACCGTCCGGCAGGGCATGGACTGTCAGTTCTGCCACTTGGAGCACGCGACTTGGAGCACGGAGCATCTTCATGGTGCGTCATAACCTCGGAATCACGCGGACGCAGGAAGGCGATCATACGAACCAGTCTACTTGGAGTGAAATATGGGGGAAATTGGTGGACCAACGTCCGTTCGCTCTTTGCTCTTGCGGTCTGTTGGACAGCGACCGTTCATGACCTCGTCCCCCGAAATGCGTTTGGGGACGCATCCCAAGTTCACGCGCTCGCGTCACGTGTAACGTTGTAACGGAGACCTCCAAGGAGACCTCCAAGAAGAAGCTGGACAAAATGCAGCGGCTTTGCTTTGAGTCCATGTCCGAGCCACAGGCGCGGCGTGGCGCGTGGCGTAGTCCGACACCGCAGGAGGCGCCATCTCAACCACACCGCCGTCCGACGCGGACGGCGGTGCTTTTCTTTTTCTCATGGCGTTTAGTTGAGAGATGTGTTCGTAACCAATTTCAGTGCGTAAAACTTGACATGAGCTTCTTCTTTTCTCCTCTTTCATGCAGAAAGAAAGGAGGTACAATACACTCTAATGCACATCAACGCACCAACATGCACCAACATGCACCAATGCAGCTTGACACTTGCCTTCTTCAGATTGGTTCTGTGCATTTCTGCGCAGTTCATTCCTTTGGGGATCCACCGCCACAGTTCATGCTGACGATCCGGAAAGTATCCTTTTTGTGGGTCAATGCGAACTTCAACAAGTTTCTATGTCCCCATGTTTGAGTCATAGCAGGCCTGCTAGGAACTCATCTGAAAAGTGGTTGCTCACCTTGGGACACTTGAATGGATGGGTTAGGACCGGATTTGAACCCAAAAAAGCATAATCCAAGCTGCTCAGTTGGACCAATCCGAGTCTGAGTATGGACGATGCGAATCTGAGCCACAAAAACTGGACGAAGCCACTCAAACTGCCGACGAGCCACAAACGACTGCGCTAGTGGCTAGTGACTTATATATGGATCGTACCCTTTTTGGCAATTTTCCGGCCATCACTGACTTCGGTTCTGGGGGGCACAAGCTGTTCGTTGTACCTTATATAAAGATGGGTATAAAGCATGTGTCAGCTTCATGCAAGTGTGGAGGTCCCCACACGCAGCATGATCACAGTGATGTTTTGATAGAGTTACCTTCCTTCGTTGTCCTCTTAGCCGTGCAATCCACGGAATTCGTTTGGCGTGGGTTGATCGCCTCGAATGAACGTGAGAGAGTTGGGTGCAAGATGAGGAGAGACCAAGCACATAAGAAGTAAGATTTGTCAACCCTTTGCATTCCTTTATCATGTCAATGGGGTGTTGTTTAGGTGAGGAATGGATGTCTATATCTATACATATATGTTTTTTTAAAGACTGCTGCAGAAGGCTGACGACCTGCGGCCATTCTGATTCCCAGACATGCGTCACCTTGGAGAAGATAAGATATGGTAAACATGTGTAATATTCTGTGATTCTACTTGCTTACTGTACTGTACTGTACTGTACCTTGCGTACTTACTTGCTTGCTTACTTACTTACTTGCTCACTTACTTACTCACTTACTCACTTACTCACTTACTCACTTACTCACTCACTTACTCACTCACTCACTCACTCAGTCACTCAGTGACTCAGTCACTCAGTCACTCAGTCACTCACTCACTCACTCACTCACTCACTGACTGACTGACTGACTGACTGACTGACTGACTGACTGACTTACTTACTTACTTACTTACTTACTCTCTCTCTATCTCTATCTTGTGTGCTCCTTCCTTTAGTGTTGTATGTTATGTTCAAAGATGTTCAACTGCATAGCTCCGACTGCCCCTCCATAGCTCCGCCCTCCATCGCTGCAGATCCTGTCAATGCTGCTGAGCCACATGGAAATGCGATGCCGGAAGCAAAATCTCACCGAACGGATGATCCTGGTCTTGTCCTGCATGCGCCGGCGTTTGAAGGCCCTTCCGAAGCACGAGCGCGTGACAGCTGCCGCTGGGCTGGAACGCTTTTGGCCGAAGCCTATTATGTTTATCTATTGTCCTTTTTGGTCTTTACGCAATATGTACGGTTTCTTCTATACCGGATGTGTCCTTCAAGGATTTAATCAGAATTCTTCATACGTGGATGAGAGCCAATAAGCTGAGCTAGTGTGACAAGGCTAAGCCAGGACACTTCGCTGGTTTCATGGTTTCGTGGTTTACCACTAGTAACAAGAAGCTACGTTCGGGGCGCCTGGCATCGCTACTAGGAGCAAGGACGCTACTAGGAACTCCTGGCATTACTACTAGTAACAAGAAGCTACTAGGAGCAAGGGCATCGCTGGTTTCATGGTTTTGTGGTTCAGGAAGCCTCCAGGTGTCCAGATCGGCGCCCTTTCCGCCACAAAGTTTGAGCGGCGGCACCATTTGGGACCATTTACCTACCAGTGGTTTTTGCATCAGGTGGACAAAGAGTCCATTTCGGTCTTCCACACATGGAGTGTTTGGGATACCCAAGACTGGGATCTACTAGCAGATGTTCATGATTTGCGAGGTTGTCCCACTTTGACACATGCCAAACGGAACAGAACACCAAAGCAACATGTGTCGTTCCGTGTGTCATGTCAGAAAGAAGCGTGATGATCACCTGCCATCTGCGGCTGAGGAGATGTCAGCCATCTTGTCCAAAAGCTTGAAGAAGCGGCCCAGCTAAGACGAAGGGTTCGAAAGGCCCAGCTAGCAGCTCTAGCTGCCTAGCGGCTGTTCTTTTGCTAGAGGTTTCCCAGGCCAAAGGCAGGCTTTTCAGGCAACGGGAGGCCGTTTTCTTTTTCTTTTTGCTAACTGGTAGCCATGCTGACTTGTTTTGACAGGTGATTCTTCCAGTTCGTGGTTCTTCTCCTCGTTGGTTGGGAGCGGTTCTATACGTTCTTTCGCCCGGTGTCGTTCCGTAGGAATCGTCGCAGATCCGTCCCGCGCGGGAGTGGAGCCGGTGGGGGAGCGTGGAGCCGGTTGGGGCGTTGAAAAAGCCGAACAGGGAGACTCCCAAGGTATGCACATATTGGCCTAATATCTATATGATTTGTGGAGCCACAGATGCAAGAAGTACATAGAAGTACTGGGTTTAGATCAATGGATTGGGCACTGGACAATATGTGGTCAACAGATGTCAACAGCCCTAAGAATCATTGGACCCGACATCTTCGCAGGGTCTGGATCCTCCATTGAGGGTCCAGATTCTTAGTAACTTAGGGAGTATTAAATCTTTGGGGCGTGTCCAATTTTCTCCCTTGCTTTCCCTCGACTCGGTGCTTTCCCAGGCAAGTGCTCATTTGCGGAGGGTTGCTTTCAATCCTCAAACCCATTGGAGTGCACCAAGGCCACTAAGAACGAGGCCTGTTGGCTCTTGAGAGCATCCCACTACATGACCCACGCCACAATCCTCAACAGGTACCTAACATCGAACGGTCGACGTGCTTCCCCAACGTTCCGACCCAACGTTCTACTTCATTGGAGCACCGTGCTTGGAGCACCCGGAGGCGACCTGGACCGGGGTCCCAACCGGAGGCCCCAAGTTCCGGCCAGGTAGTTGGGTGTTGGACCTTCGTAGTTAGGTGAAAGGATCGCGAATAGTTCATCCGAGGTTTGTTCCACATGAAAACCCGCTTTGGCCCGCGAAAGCCAACAACCAGCGGCTTCGCGGCGCAAGACGCGCAAGCATGTGAGGCTCACTTTGGGGCGCTTGCTGGACCTGGTGAAGCAAAGCCGCAACGTCTGTGACGCATTCAAAACGGAGCTGACCGCCGTCGCGCACCATGCTGCAGGACGTTCCATCCACGGTCCAGTTTGAGTGATGTGGGGAGCCTTACTGGGCCTGTTCGTGTCGAAGTTGGGACGAGTCTCGAAAGACGCTGGACGGCCAGAGTGGCCTGCAAATGTAGACTGTTGATGAATGAAGCCCCTCATGTGAAGAGGTGTTACAATGGATTACAATGGTACAATCCAATTCTTCTATATCATCAGTCTACATTATCCTAGTGGTAACATGTGGCAACTGGATCCAGTCGGGGGGAATCATAGGTGCAGGCGCCCTGTGTTTTGTATATATGTGTTTTCTGCCGGATCCTGATGATACTTGTAGAAGTTGAGGGAGGAACACAGACCAGCCCTGAGTTGCGAAATGCAAGTAGCCAGAATGCAACTACTGCAATGCAACCAGCCAGCCCGGTTCGAGCCCTAACCTAGACCTCGAGCCGAACCACAGGGCGGGTTAGGTTCTCCAAGCAGGGCAGGGGAAAGGCCTGACCACACGCAAGAGATTGCAAGCAGCTCAGAGTCCACTAGCGCGTCCTGTGCTCATTGTTAGGAGAGTTGTTACACAAGTATTGGCCATATTCTTGTAAAGTGTCGACAAATACATTGAAGCAAAATGGGATGCATCGACTGGGCTTTTTGTTTTCCTCCTTATATGGGGTTTCTCCTATTGCCTCTAACAGTCGGCAAAGAATGATCACAGAGAAAGGCCTGCAACGGAACCATCATCATCCACTGGGCTCTGGTTAGAGGATAGATCCATCCTCCAACTAATTTCTTCTATTGACTGATAGTTTGCCTCTGGAGAAAGTTGGTGTTCTTGGATCTCTTTGGACCCAATCGGGACTGGACTACAAGACCGTCGAACTTGGAGTCTTGCAAGGCCCCCCCACACACAGATCTCAAGTGCACAGAGCACAGGCTGATACATTGGAGGCCCGGAGGTTTTGCCAGGCAGCCTTCAATCAACTTCAAGGTGTTGAAGTGCGAAGTAGAAAGTGTGTTGAACCAAACGTTGAGCTCATCAACAATGCCAAGAAGTTGGAACAGGGGGATGGCCGGATTGGCCAGTCCTTGTTCTGGAAGTCTGGCCTGACCGATCTTCGCGGAGCAGTTTTGAGATTTCAAGCCGTCTCTGTGTCTTTGATTCTGCGAGAGAGGCAGAGTAGGGCCTCCCCTAACTGTGCCAACCAATGCAAGACATACGAGTTGCCGAGCTGCTCGACGCGCAGTTCACAAAGAGATCCACCGTTTGGACTACTCATGGGCACCGAACCTGCCGTGTAAAGCTTTCTTGCTATACGACCCGTTCTCGTTTTTGGCGGGGGATTTAAAGAAGTACAAAGTAGAGAACGAGCATGGACATGATCGAAACATCTTGTTTTTTGGGGATCCTATATTCTTTCTGGGGAGAGTTCGTTTTTCGTCATGATGTACTGTATCTACTAGTCAGGGGATCAAATGTAGGTACACAGAGGGAGAGGTCCCATGCGATGATGTATTTCTTGCTCATGATTTCTTTCGACGTGCGTGTCTCTCGCAGGGCTCATGGCCAAGGGCCAAGACCCATTTTTCGGGCGCCAAGCGCCACCACTGATGTTTGAACTGGGCAAGCCCATCCCTGTAGCATTTTCCACACAAAGATCGGATAATATATATATATATATATATCCTAAGTGTACAGTACATGATGTTGCATCATTACCCCTTATGCAAAGGCTTATGAAATGCGACGCTAGGTATCAACATTATACCAAATAAATCAAAGACCCGGTTGGGCGAGATCTTTTCTTGCACCTGTCAGGCACGAGCAAGTTCCAAGTTCCAGGTGTAATAGTCAAGTGTAATCGCAAATAGTCAAATAGTAGGAGTGTCCCACAGATCAAGTACCCCAATTTTTATACAGGCCATTACATTTTGTTCGACGATGACGATGACTTGGAGACTCGATTCTCCAAGGTGAGGAGTTCCTCAATCATGATGCAGATTCCAAGCTGCTGGATTGACAGAGCTTGTTTCGTCCAATTGATCTGATGGCTTGTAATTTTATAGAGGCCCCCCCAGAGATGATGGATGCTGTGCACCCAGTTTTGTATCCTATATTATAAAATTGCAAGTCATGAGATCACCACTGAATTCCAACAGGGATGCCGGCCCAAACTCTGATGAAGCTGACCCGGGATGCCGACCCATCACCCTAGTGCCCCAGGCCACTGATACTCAGGCGGCGCAACTTCCAACATTCCTGCTCGCAGAGGAGCAACGAGTTGTTCTGGCGATCTAGAGGTTGATGTCAGGCTATCATTTTTGGTATTGTGTACGGAGAAAGCTATTTCTAGGCGCCCAGCTTTTCGGACGACCATGGACCCCAAACATGGACGGGTTTGGTATTAAAGCTGTCCACAAGGCCAGGCCAACATCTTCCCAGGTCCATCGGGTCCGTTTTCAGGAGTGTGGAGCACGTTTTGCCATTCGGTCGATGTTGGCTCTGGGGCCAGGCCTCTTCCAGCCGCAGGGACGCGCTGCGGCCGTCATCCTTTTTGAGCCAAAAAATTTTAGCGTCGGCCGTGGCCGTCGGAACCCTGCGCGCAATGCGGCATCCGAGACAGCGAAGGTGTCCTCAAGGGTCCAAAGGTCTCAAGGGTGGCAGGATCATGCATAGACTTCTTGATGATAAACTTCCCTTGTATGAAGAGGTTTTGCAAAATCATTTTTTTTCTGAATCAAGTGTGTCAAGAACTGAGGTCCAAGTTCGAGTGATACTGACTGTCGTGATGGGTTTGCGAGGTTCTTTGGGGTCCAGCTTCGCAGGACTGCAGGGTACTGGATGCTTTCCCCTTTCTTGGTTGATTTGGGGTAGAATGACATGCAAAATAGGCCCGGGCTGCAAGTCCGTCAGTGCGATCCATGGTCATTCTCATCCAGAACAGTGTAAGCACCCGCTGCGCCAACGGCGGCAACATGTCTTGCTCCAAAGCAATCCATCCAAAACCTAGAACCTGATGGCATGGACCTTTGGAAGACTTGTTTCCTCTACAACCTCAGTGGTTTGAGGGTTCTATGTTAATCTTCCCGGGTGTATCCGGTTTCTTGGACCCTTGAGCCAAATTGGTGTAACATAGGGAGACCTCCCAGGCGTTCGGACCTTGCAAAAGGGTCGGAACCTCGACCAGTCCACCCGGTCCTGGCGGTCTCCCTCTTTGAACACCCCGAATCTGGAGCTACGGCTCAACCCCATCTTCCATCCCGGCGCCTCCGCGCCGAATCCGCGCACCCTCGGACGCGCCGCGCCGAACTGCGCGCCGCCCACACGCGGCCCGAACGGACGGCCCTTCCACCGCAAGGAGCGGGGCGAACTGGGGGGACCGACGTTCGGCCGCTGACCGAGGAGAATCGGTCGGCGGAGGGGCAGACCGAGCGTTGACTAGGGGAGATTGACTACCAGATGCAATCAGACCTCATATGCCTCAGAATTGGCACTTCCGTCACCCAAGTCGTCGGAGGAGTGGCATGGAACGTAGGTCGTGAGACGACAAGATGAGTAGTTCACATGGTGAGTCATGGCCGCCCGGGGGACATACCAAGCCGACCGGTTGATCTCCTATCGCACATGCTTTTCGTGCGACGTCCCATTCACTCCGGAACGGACCGCTGGAGGTGTTGTGTCGCGACAACGTGTGGTTTCATGCCTTCGAAGCGGAATTCCGAAGACCGAGAAGACCGAAGAAACAGAAAAGACTGGGAGATTGAGACGCTGCGATTGAGACGCGCCAGCTGCCAGCTGTGAGATGCTGTAGATGAAGACCCTGGCACCATGCATGACAACTCTTTGGATCGGAATAGGACTTCTGTGGATGGGTGAGTGCTCCAAAAAACCAGGCTCATTGATGTGAAGGAGCTTTTGCGACCGAAGGGCACTCGCACGTGGATGTGGCAGTTGTTCACTGGGGAGTTCCTTGCCGCGTAAAAAATCCACTGGCCGATTTCGGGGCCTTTCAATCTCCCAACAAGTGGTGCGTGTGGTGCGGCCATGTGCCAGGCTGTGCCTTCACCGTTTTTTCTCCGCCCCCTTTCAGTTCGTCCGAGGCCCTGAAAATCACCCACCATCCATCGACCAACAACATGCGGCCATCGCACTGAAAAGGGTGGTTTATTTTTCTTTCAGCTTCTGCCGTGGCCACTCACGACCACTCACGACCCTGCGACCACGTGCAGAAAATTCAGAGATGAGGCACAGTGCATCACATGTTTCGCACAGTGACTGTTCCTGTGAAATCATATGAAATACCATGCATCGTCAGCCAAGCTGGTCAAAAACACTTGGGCCGACCGGATGACCCCATGTCGCCATGCCCAGAACTCTGACAAAAAATGTATAAAACTGGTTTGTTTCGGAATGACCCCATGCATCATATGCATCATGAGTTCCAGAAGGAGCTGAACGGAAAGGTCCCTGGTTTCCTTCAAGAACATCATGCACCGATCCATCGCGGTGAGCCCCCCATCCAGGATCCGAGAAGCCGCAGTTCTCGAAGTCAGGTTTTGCGGTGTGGATTTGTTTCCACTTTCCCAACCCTACAAGTCCAGTCTGACCCAGTAAAACTGGTCCTTTCTTTACTTCTTGAAGAGTGCTTTTGCATGACCAACTTCAGTAAACTGAGGTCTTTGACTTCTAGGGCAAGCTTAACATGGACGACTGGACGCCCCGGCTGCCCGCCAGTGTGTCCCGGCGCCGGTCGGTGACGTCATCAGACTCAGTCATCAGACTCATCGCCACAGGAACGGAACACAGAAGTGGCAAGCTGTGACTCAAGTCCGTTGCTTGCCCTGTTTGGTGTGCTTGCCCTGTCGCCTCGAAGTTATATATGACTCCAGGTGATCCTCTCATTCTCAGCCACACGAGACCAAACATGAACCTGCCGTATCCCCGCAAGAGTTGAAACTTAACCCCAGTTGTTTCAACCCTCCAGTTAGGTGATGTGTATGGCCTTTTTCAGGAGCACAACGAGGTCCAAATCATTCGGCGTTTTGGATGCC